TGGGTTTTGCCGTATTATTTTATTTTTTTTATTGTTATACTCATGCTTTTTAAACACCACTTAATCGTTTGCATTTTACTCAAATGTTGGAAATGAATGCCATGCGAATATGTGTTTATCTACGTTCGCCGTATTCTACTGAAGCAGAATTCTTGACATTTTTTTACAAGCACGTCTTTCTCATTTTTTTTTTTTTTTTTTTTTTTTTTTTTTTGTGCTATTACATTTCGGAAATACGATTTCCGACAAATTACGATGTTTTCCTCATGTTTCCTTTTGAAGATCCTTTTTACTACCTTTGTTTTGCAGTTAATACATTTCTTTTATGGCAGCTAACAATATGCACAATCTGCACGGCTTACCGTCACAACAAGCGTCATCATTGACACCTAGTCTAATGCCGCAATCAGTTATAGCTTCCACAGGCACAGTTACGCCTATGATGGGGCACATAACTATGCCGCAAAATAACACCGGTAATAACAGTGGAAGTGTTGCAGCGGGTGTTAGCATAGTTACAGCAGGACAAAGTGCCTGGGAGCAGTTGACCGCCTCCAACACCAACGTGAATGCAAGTTTAATAACAGCATCTACTAGCAGCACACCTGCAAGTCTAGCTCATGATCCTAATGCAATCAACAACAACAATAGTTCATTAGTTGGCAGCGGCATGATGTCAGGCGCTAATTCACCGGCAGGTCCCAGCTGTTCTTCCCCTTCAACTCCCGCAAAGCAAGGTCCTACACTCATGGATGGCGTAATGGCTCATACACCGCAGGGCACACCGTCGATGTATCAAGGTGGCAGTTATGGTGAAGAGCTAACGCCTGAGCTATTTAGTCAGGGCTGGCGAAAATTTTGGTCAAAGCGTGAAAATCGTCCATACTATTGGAATAAAGTAACAGGCGAATCATTGTGGGAGATGCCAGGGGCGCGCCCTTTTGATCCACTTACTGACCCGCTGGGCATTTGTCATGCCGGCGGTCAACCACCTTTGCACCATTCACATTCACACATGCAACAACAGCATCACAATTTAAAACGTCGGCCTTCAGATGATATGCATATGCATGCGCATGGACACCAGCAGCCACCCATGAAAAAATTCATTTTGGCGGGACCGTGGGACTTGGAGGTATGCACGAATGCTGTTATCGTAGAAAGGCCACCAACTTTATTGCCGCAACCCCATCCCGAGATCGAAGCACTACGCGCTGCTTACACAATGAAATTGGTAAAAACATACGAAGATCTTTGCATGCGTCGAGAGAGTATTAAGGCACCTAAGGATTCATTTAACCGTTGGCTGATTGAACGGAAAGTGATTGACAACGGTTGCGACCCTCTGTTACCCAGCAATTGCATGCCGGAAATATCACCATCAATGTATCGTGAAATAATGTCCGACATCCCAATAAAAATTGTCAAACCAAAATTCACTGGAGATGCTCGTAAGCAATTATCACGTTACGCCGAAGCAGCTAAACAGATAATAGAATCTCGTTCGGCGCCAGCTGAATCGAAAAAGGTTGTCAAATGGAATGTCGAAGATACATTTCAATGGTTGCGTCGCACGGTCGGAGCTAGCTATGAAGATTTTCAAGATCGTTTGGCTCATTTGAAAAGACAGTGTGAACCACATCTCACCGAGACCGTCAAAAGTTCAGTGGAAGCTTTGTGTGCTAAAATATATCACATGTCCGCTGAGCATGCACGCAAAATACGTGAGCGTCATATGCAACTCCTAAAGGAGCATGGCATACCAGAACCTACACCACCACCACCGCCGCCCCACTTAAAAAAAGTCTGGTGCTATCCTATACAATTTGCGGTGCCCTCACCTCGTATGCCCGCAATAGAATATGTACAAGATCGAGATCACATGATTATCAAATACACACCTTCAACGCTCAACCAACCAGATGCTCAATATATTAATTTGACACATTTGCAAAAACTAGAACAACTCTATCGTTACAATTGTTTTGATGATAAAAAGTTTGATCTGTTCATTGGACGGGTATGGTGTTTACTAAAACGATATCAAACATTTTTGGGCAATGCTTTAAACTCGTCACAAGAAGCCGAACTAACACAAGCCTCCTTACCCACTCCCGTTTTTGAGTGCTTACATCGTCATTTTGGCGTAACTTTCGAATGTTTTGCTTCGCCATTCAATTCATATTTTCGCCAGTATTGTTCAGCATTTGCCGATACTGACGCTTACTTTGGATCTAGAGGGTAATACGATTTTTTTAATATAATTTTCTATACGCACATTTAAATGATTTGTTTTCAATCAGACCTTTCTTAGACTTCAAACCAGTGTCAGGTTCATTTCAAGTTAATCCCCCACACTGTGAAGAACTAATTGATGCCGCTTTGGTCCATATTGATAAACTGTTAAACGATTCTATGGAACCTTTAAGGTAAACGATAAAAAAAATCATGCTACATACGCAAATATATTACGTTTATCATATTGTTAGCTTTATCGTTTTCTTACCCGAATGGAAAAGCCTAGCCAAGTTGGAGGAAAACATATATAAACGTCGTTCTATGGTAGTGTTGGGTATGGCTCATGAATATCGGCACGGATATCAGCATATTATACCGAAGTAAGTACAAAAACAATTCCTTTATTGCAATTTTTTGCTCCTGTGATAAGTTAGTAACTTGTAGGATACGCCAAGGCTTGACAAACAAATCTCTGCAAATATTGAATACGTTTGTCGATAATTTGCGCGTTTAGGTAAAAATATACATTTTTTTTTTTAAATTCGATATTATTCATCGTAGGCCTCTTTCAGAATGATGGAAACAGTTCAAGGCTTCTTTATCATTTCGATGTCTTTTCTGTAGGACGAATTATCAAGACTCTCTCTCTCTCTCTCTCTCTCTCTCTCTCTATCTCAAAGTGTGTGCCAATTTCTGTCATGATCTTATTCGATAAAAATCTTTTTCTCTGAAGCATTCTTTCAATATTTGCAAACAGATAGCACTTACAGCAATTCAAAATTTATTTCATGTAAGTTTGGCATTATAGCCATCGACTGATGACATGGTATCTTTATTACTCATGCTTAAAACTTTTTGCAAAATAGTGAATAGACTCTCTTTCGTCATCTTTAGGATGTTTGCTACCTCTTGCACTCTACTTTCGATTATCAAGAATAAGTTTCAGTATTTTTTCGACAGAGAAAAGTTATCGCAACAATTTTTAAACCAATGCTGACTATGAACGGTATGCATAACCTACATCACTTGGCGGAGAAGGTATATTATATTAAGTTGGCGCAAAATAAGAACCGAAACGTTTAAGAAACGCCCATATTTTTTTTATATTCATCGATCTACTCAGACTCTGTTTTAGAATTAATGTAAGCCTGTCCACGTGGCTGATGTCTGCCCCAGGGGTTTTTTTATTGAACAATATTTTGATTTTTCAATTATTTTGATAAAATTTTGTACATTGATCCGTTTCGGCTCAGGAAAGAAAGTGCAAGAAAATGAATCGGGTCAGGCTATTTCTAGGTACACACTGCTTATATGACGTCTTATTTTGAAAAGGTCGTTATGCGAAAAAAATGTTCAAATATTTCAAACACTTTTGAATCCTCTCCTGCAAAATGTGTAAACCTTTGTATGCCAAAAAAACTGCAAATTTTCGCTATCTTATGATGAAAACTGGTTTATAGCACTAACTTGATATAGAAATTAAATACACCTAATTTGGACAATGTAGATTTATTTTTCCGATCTCACGTCATACGCAGGCTCTCATGAAAAAACCAATGATAATCGTAAACATATAGTCGAAATGACACGAAATGTGACAGATGTCATTTAAAGATCGTGGGTTTCTAAAAATAAATTTATTAGAAATCAAATCTATGTATCTGTGTAGTTTCAATAAATATTGACTAATGTGTTTTTTGGTTTTGATTCGATGAAAATTGTGATCATACTATTATTTTTACTTCATTTTGTATTTATATCCATCGCTGTAAGGCGAGGGTATACTCATTTTGTTTTTTTCCCATAATGTACGTAACGTCCAAAACGGACCAAAAAAGGAAGCTTCAGAGACCCTGCAAAGTATATATATTCTTGATCAGCGTGAATTTCTGCGTTGATTTTGCCATGTCTGTCCGTCTATGTGGTGTGTGCTATTGGCGCTCCTGATCGCCAATATGAAGATATCGATTTTAGATTTGGTAGATACATTGGATGTTTCTGTTAGTCAAAAACAATTTGGTAAATGGAGAAAGACGTTCAAGAAAGAGGTCTTATATCCACCTCTGCATCCAGCCTATATGTTCATTTTTAAAAATATATGTAAATGCGTTAGCTTTTCATAAGAGAATTTCACTATTTTCATTTTAGAGCCGATGTGAATGTAAAATGTATGCAAGGCACACAGGTGGTTTGGTTGCAGAACAGTGCTGGCCACGCCCGCTGGGGTCCGAATGAAAATCGAGTGGAAGCATTGCGTGAAGCGTTTAGGCCGCAACGAGACCGTGAACGCGAACGAGAACGTCAAGCGGCGGCCAACTCATCCTCGCAAGCATCTACTTCGTCAACAGGTAATTCTTCTTTAATCTCTTCTGGATCTCCATCATCATCGTCGATACCAACTACGAGTGGTCTGACACCACAACATTCACAGATTTATACCACTAGTAATATCAACACAACTGTGGGCTTTACTCCAACGTCTACCATATCAATGGCAGGATCCTCTTTGTCTACCGCTACAACTCTGGCGGCAACAACAGCTTGTATGGCTTCACCTTCAGGAGCTTCAACATCATCGGGTTTCTCATCGGCTAGCAGTAGTTACGGCAGTTCGAATATGTCACCTTCCCCTTTATCGCCACATACGCCACCTTCTAATTATCATGCGTCAGCTTCGCCAGGTTTAAGTGTGCAAAGCGATTGCTCTTCACCTACATCATCGACTACTTCTCTGTCTCCAGCGCCGTTAATGGACTCGTCTGCAATTAGTGTTATTAATCCATCAACCGCTGTGTCGATCACAGCCACAGCCACAGCTACAAGTTCGGCTACTTCTGCGGCAGCGGCGGCCGCTTTTGCTAGTTTGGTTGCAGGCGGAAATAACGCTACAACCAATGGATCGGCGTCTTCTATAACAACTACGGTAGCAGCCACTGTCATTAATTCAGCTGTTTAAAGAGATCAAATGCGCAACTTCATTTCACAAAGCGTAATTTTAATTTCTTTTATCCTTGATGTATATAAAGAATATTTACTTCATAGTGACTATAAAAAATCTCACACATCTACTTTAAGCATCAACTAGGTGCGGATAGTTTAACTGAGGCAGAACCTATCTTTTACTATGTTGATCGTTGACCCAATCAGTTATGATTTTGGTAACAAATATTGCATTGCATTCAATGGGTTAGAACTCCATCCCCATAATATTTGTTTATCACAAAAATCTTTATATAATAATATTGTAAATATATATTGTAACTTGTGGAGCCTTGTTCTCAAACTGAACCCTTATTACGAAATTGGGCAATAGGCATATACAGACAAGTAATTTAGTTACGTACTGAACAAAAATTTACTAAAAATTTTTATTAGCATTTATAAAAAAACAAACAAAAAACAAAAAAAAAAAGGAATTTGGAGTGAAGAGCAATAATTTCACATCCAATAAAAGAGTACGATGCTAGACGGATCGACCTTGTCGACCATATCACTGGCATTTGTGTTAAGATGTAATAAACATAAAAGGGGCAATTTATGCTTTAAGTTTCAACTCGTATCTTTATTTTCCAATTTGTTTTTTTTTTTTT